GTGAGGAAATCTGTTCTATTATAATATTTTATCCCTAAAAGGTTTTATGGGCACCTGGGTCATTTTCCTTGTATGTTGGTTTCCTGAAAGCTTTAAACCTTTTTTTACAAATGTATCTACAAAGAAGTTACACATGAACCATGACATCTATTAAAGAGGCCTGCTCAAGTGTTTGCAACCTGGCCCATAATGGTACAAAACACCTGGAGATTTTCATGAACCGGTTCACATTCATTCTAAAATCCATCTAAAAGAATATTTCAAAATAATACGAGGTCCTGAGGAGATTCTATAATGTGTCTCTATAGAGACGTGGGATAAAGGACAAAACTGTTCTTTCACTGTTCATAAATGACTTCTGAAGTTTCGCTGAAGCAAACACGAGGTTGAACTTCCTTTCTTTTTGTTTCCGCTGACAGTGTTTCTTTGTTCACTTGCTGCAGAAGGGAAGTAAAACAATGAGAGAATACTGATTCTTTTTTTTCTTTACTGAAGCCTCACCTTAGCTTTACATGAACTTTTGCATGATTACTTACATTGATATCATATTAGGATCTGATTATGAAGATAAGAGAAATAATTATATACACCTACATATGAACATGTGAGTACTGACAGACCTGAGGACCTGTGTGGCTGCCCTGCAATAAATGGCAGAGCAGATGGCATGAGAAAATGTTGTGTTGTCGTATACGTTGCATTTTGCCATATTGCACAAACTCATCAGTCTACTCGGCTGTGTAACTTATGTTTTTCAGTCCACAGTTCATTTTAGAAACTCACGTCACTCCATCTTTGAACTATCAGGATTCAGTTAAAGGTAGAAGAAGTAATTCACACTTCTTGGTTAATCTTTGCTCATAACACTCTCTAATACCGCTCTCCTTCCAGCGACCCTCTGAAGAAGTGAGCTTTTCAAACTCATATACAATGAGCTCAGTGCAAGCCTTTCACCCACAGTGCCACGGTGTCGCTATCCGCAGAAAAAAGGAGTGGGACAGCCATGAGGACGCAGGTAGGTCATTTGAGCAATACAGTATTTAATAACTTATCTCAAGCTGCTTAGCTCTGTTAGACTCTGTGGCTTAAATGGAGCAGAAAATTGAGAGAGTGCAAAAAAACAGAGGACCGTCTTACAAACTCAATTACTCCCAATTAATCCAGTTTATTTTACTTAAGTATGAAGATAACGCAGAAGTGGGACTGAAGACTGAAATGAAAAATATTGATTCAGTGACAGTTTACAGTCAAAATTTAATTCAAATAAGTTAAACATAATTCACATAAAACAAAAAATCTGAATATGGTGTTTATGTTGAAATAATTTGGTCAGACTCTTACATGATATGGATTAAATACATCAACACAAGAATAGGCATCTTCATCCACAATGTAAAAAACGAAACAAGTGGATGCTGAGTTGAAATAAATCAAGTGCAAATGACTCACAGTGTCTCTGACGGTAAGAAAGATAGATTACATCTCTTACATAAGATAGTGCAGCTCTTACAAATAGATCTCTTTATACTGTATTTACACGTAGAGCAGATAAATAAGTTACCCTTCTTCTCTGAGCACTTCAGGGTTTCATTGTGGATTGTATGGGAATGCAACGTCAAGGGGGCAGGTTAGCAAACTAATTCATCTTTTTAACTCGCATAAAAACTATGATTTCAAGCATGAACTTTCCCTTTTTTATCTATGCAACTTTTTTCATCTGGGAAAGTGAATTCAAAATCATGTATGACTTTAAAAGCTGCTGTTTTGGCCCATTAAATGGAATGGGAATAATATACATTCATATAAATAAATCACTATTATAAATGTTGAAATAAATATTGTTAGTGCTTCTGTCTTTGAAAGAAAATAGATGAGGAAAGTTTAGTGTCTTTAACTTTCCATTTCAGACTCTGAGTTCTCCAAGTTAGACACCGTGGAGCTGTACCACTCTGCGCTCTCCTCTTCCTCCTGCACTCCCGACACGCCACCACCGCCTCCGCCTCCACCCCTGTCTTTTCTCTCATTCAGCATCTCCATGGCCACTTGGTGGTAAGGGTGTTTGCGCTTTGTGTGTCGGCGCAGCGTGTTGCGCTCGGCGAAGCGCGTGTGGCAAAGTTGGCACTGGTAGGGTTTCTCTCCAGTGTGGACCCGTTGGTGGCGCTGGAGCTCGCCAGCCTCCCTGAAGCGTTTGGCACAGATGGGGCACACAAAGTTCCTCTGGCCTGTGTGGATGTGCTTGTGTCTCTGTAGAAGAAAACAGCGATTTCAAATTAAATATTAACACATTTTAAAAGTTATTAAGGTGGTTAAAATCATCTTTGACTACTTCGGTACGAAAGCCGACGCTAGTGATATAAAGATGAACCTACAGAAGATGATGGTATAGGGACACTTTTCCAGTCTATAGACCACACCTCTTTACAGTATAATTCACATTCACTCTCTAACACACATTCAAAGAGCACATCAATATGCAGCCGCTTCTCTATTACATATCCTTCATGCATCGACAGTGGATGTATGAAGGATAAGTGACAGAGCCAACAGGGGCAATTTGGGGTTCAGTATTTTGCCCAAGGACACCGGGGATCAAACCACAGACCTTCTGATTAGTAGATGACCTCTACTGTTTTGGTTCGCACTAACCTGCTCTCATACCTGGTAGCTTTTTGCACCAATTAAAGTCTAACACCCATTTAATGTTACCTGCCCAGCCCCAAACTTTCTACAAACTGCTCCTGTCGCTCTGTCTCTACTGAACGTGTAAATAAAAGTCATTAATATCAACTGAAGGGTAAAACGTTACCTGGTTTGTTTGTTTGATAGTAAAAAGGATTACACAGAAAAAACTTAGCTACCAAGGGTGTGACATGAGTTAATACTTGAACATTCTGAAAATTCTGAATAGCTCAGTTTTCACACTGCGAAATTGTGATTTGTAATTAGTTTTCACTTATTTCTGAATCGATTAATTTAGAAAAACTCTGGTAGAATAATCATTCGTTTTCAGCCTGTTTCTGCTGCTCCAAAGTGGCCAAAAGAAATCAGCTACTCTTATTGCAATAATAATTTGAGACATGTTATTATTACCTGCAGATGGCTGGAGCGTTTGAAGGCTTTGCCGCACTGCTGGCAAACATGAGGCTTCTTCTGCGAGTGCGTGATGGCGTGGCGCTCGAGGTCAGAGAGGTAAAAGAAGACCCGCGGGCACAGCTGGCAGTACAGAACCCTGCGGGCGGCCAAAGTGTTGGGCGACGCCGCTGGAGAGAGAGGATCCAGCGGGTCAAGTTTATCCATGGGGAGTATGGGTCCGATGGGCGGGGAAGGAGGAGCGGCCATGTTGGAGAAGTAAAGGTGGTCGTCCAGAGGTAAATGTTCTGAGTGCAGGTCGCAGGGGTCAAATCTGGACTCCGAGGCTGGTGATTGAGCTTCTGCCTCAGAGCTGGGCTGAGCTGAGGGGTCAAAGGTCATATTGGCAGACGGTAAGTGAGGAGACGATTCTGCAAAAGTTGATGGCTTGTTGTTTTCATTTGAGACTCCTTCGGCAGATATGGCTTCACTTCCAGGGTTTGAGTCAGCGGAGGTGTTCTGAGTGTGGAGAGTGGGGGCCGTGCTGTTGTGGTCACTCTGGAGTGCAGGAGTGGACAAAGAGACAGAAAGGGCGGACCCAGAGTTTACATTATGTACTCCTGACAGGACGACTGGAGGGTCACTGGCGCCCAGTCTGATGACAGGGTGAGACAACGTGGGCAGAGGGGACCCCAGTGCGCTGACCTGACCACAGGACAACGGGAGGGAAACCGGTGCTGATGCTGCAGTGATCTGAGACAGCTGACCTGTCGAAGGGTCAAGGACAGCGAATGGGGTGGAAGTAGTGTCACCAGAGGAGGAGGGCACAGAGGAGAGGAGAAGGAACATGGGGGTGGAAGCACCGGGTGAGGTCTGAGCGACAGAGAGGGGAAGCGAGAGACCCACCGGAGCGGAGGAGAGCTGAGGAGAGGAAGAGGAAGATGATAGGAGGAGAATGGGAGCATTAGTTGAAGGGTTAGTGAGGATCTGGATAGGCTGACTGGGGACTGAAATCCCAGTAGGAGGGGACAGAGCAGCATTGGCCTCCTGGACAACTTTAATGTTTGACTCTGAGGCCTTTGAGGGATCTGAGTTCATAATCAAACTCGTGAGGGCGTCTGGAGCTTTTGTCAGATCAGCACCAAGTGATGGTGACTCGGTATCAGGGGTCATATCAGAAAGTGCATTATCTAAACTTTGGCTGAGGCTCGGTTCTGCTAACTCCGACGACTCCTTTCCTTCCACCTGTGCTGAACGAGCCTGATCCGAGCGAGGATCCTCGGACGTGGACGCATCGACCTGCGGCAGTTTGACTCCCTCCGGACTGAGAGTATACGGGATTCCCTGGTCGTCTATGAGAAGAAGGTCGTCAGTGTCACAGTCTATCGAGGGGAGGGAGGTAAAGACAGAGGTAGAAAAGAAGGAGGGAGACAGAAGAGAGTCTTCAAGTGTATCTGTGCCATGTTCATGGTTATCGTCCTCTTCTACTATGTCTCTGTCTCCATCTCCCTCATACTCATCTACCTCCATGATCAGTGAGGTCTCACAGCCAGAATCATCCACACAGTGTCCACACCTCCTCTGCAGACCCTCTTTGTTCTTGGGTAAACTCAGGTCCAGTGGTTCCATCTGTTCCTCAATTTCAACCTCACCGAACGTCTCCAAGTGCATTTCTTGCAAAATATTTGTCTCAATTTCTCCCTCTGTAGTTTCCTCTTTAATCATCTTCCAAATGTGTGTTTTATCTGTTAGAGTTTCTGGCACATCCAAAACATCTCCCTCTCTGCACATTGTATCCCCTCTGTCCATCTCTGTCTCCTGGAATGATTCTTCCTCATGATCCTCTACCTTTTGACAAACAACTTCCTTGAGTCCAGCTCCATGTTTGACAGCAGGCATCTGGATTTTGTCTCTGTGTCTCCCTGCTCCTGTTGAGACCAAACCAGGCCTCCTGAAGCGTGTGTGAGCAAAGTCTTTGGTCTGGCTGATGGCAGAGTTCGTGATTGGCCTCTCGCACCGTGGGGGGACGACAATTTTGATCCTGATTGGCTGGCTCCGCAGAGCAGGCACTCCGGTCTTGACTGTAATTGGCCGCCTGAGCCCACCAATCTTACTTGTTTCCTGAGAGGCTGGCTTGGAGTTCCCGCCCCCCTCTGGCTTTCTCCCATTGACTGGAGGAGCATCCTGTGTGATGATGGTCACTGCTGCTGTGACGGGGCATGGCTGGAGGTTACCTGGTACAGTACTGAGGGAGGTTTTGTCCTCTGAGTCCAAACAGCCGCCTGTCACTGCCTCTGGTCCCCCTGCACACCGGCTGCCATTTTGGGCATCCAGGCTGCCACTGGTCAGGACTGAAGCCAACTGAGAATCCATTTTGGGGCATACCTATTTCTATTTCTATGAAGTGGAGGATACAATAATGAATTAGAAACTCTCAGTTGCAGCATGAGAATAAAACATTTCATGGTGGTAGAGGAAGTAAACACACATCCTGTGATACATGGTTTTTGGGGGTCAAGTGAGCAAACAGCCAATATCATCAGTGTTTTTTAAAATATTAAATATACATGGTTCAGATTAAACTCTTCTATCTCTAACTGACTCACATGACACCTCCCTCCTCCTCCTCCTCCTCTTCCTCTTCAACACGAGACGCTCCTGGTAATTGTGCTGTTACCCTGCATGATCCAAAATTACTGCTCGGCTATATTTGACCGATCGATCCACAGAAACGCACCGGAGCGCAGGAGGGTCCGAGTGATGCGAGCGAAACGACATTTCCTCTCTCGCACTTCTACCGCGATCCACATGCGATCCTCACAACAAAACGCGTCATGTTAAAATATATTTCGTGTTCCGTTTACATTTCTGTCCTTTCCTTTAGGCTGGGGGGGATCAACCCGTGCAGCACTGTCCGAGCAGGAGGACGCCATTACGCACAGTCCTAGGTCCGAAACGCCAGTGTGACCGTGGTGCGTGTGCGCCCTGACAGCTCTCGGACCTGGGACATCTCTAAACGCTTCAGAGGAGGAGAAACGTGTTTGATTGCAGATAACCGCGAAGTGTGGAGCGACGCTTTCCCCCCTCAGCCACCGCAGCTTCCTCGAACCCACAGCCAGCCATTTTAGAGCCGAGGGTCCGAGGCACCGAGAGCGCAACCCGGCGGCAACGGGTACAAACTTTCCCCCGGCGCGCTGTCATTTCTTTCCGGCCCCTGCTGCTGCCAGCGCCGGGGCAGGACGCTTTCGATCCCGTTTTAAAAACTGTATTTCTGAACTGTACTCCACCCTCGCTGCGTACACAGGGACTGGCTTACCCGAGCTGCGGAGGCTTCCGGAGGACCAAATATGACTGTGCAGTGTAAAGGGTGATGCTGCGAATGCTGAGGGAGGGAGGGGTCAAGGGGAGTTGCTATGGTGTCGCAGCCTACCGGGTCCGACCAGTGGCCATGTTCAGCCTATGAGTACGGTTGAACCTGCAGCCTGCACACACAAGCCTCTGTGTGTGTGTCACAGAGAGGATGGAGAAAACATGGACTCACACTGATGGGCTCATGTGCAATACATGAAAATAAAAAATGTTCCCAGTGCGAAAACATTCTTTTTCTATTTCAAATAATTTCAACTTACAAGTTCAAAGACTTGATGCATCAGACTGAAGAGGTAAAATCACACATCACAGTTATAATGAGTACATGGAGGTTTCATAACTGATGAAGCACGTATCATGGAAGAGGAGGGAAGTTATGATCACCTGCAGTCTGATAGTGTGCAGGGGACGTGAGCCTGATGGCAGCCGAGTGGCCACGCTCAGCCGTGGAGAGAACATGGACTCACACAGTAGGATTTATCTGCATTAGGCTACAAAAATCACAAATCATTAAAACTTACAAGCCTCAAGAGTTCATCAGGCTGAACACATGAACTGAAGGATCACACAGTGAGATATCACAGAGTCATACTGAGCACATGAAGGTATCATACACGTGTCCTGGAGGCCTGTGATTGCATCTGCAGGAGATTGAAGGTCGTAATCACGCCTGCAGTTTGATAGAGTGCAAGGGCCGGAGACAAAGAGCGTGATACCAGCCGAGTGGCAGCGTTCAGCCTGTGAGTATGTTTGAACCTGCAGCATCAGATTCACAGAGACGCGGGGGGGGGGGCAAAGCCTCAGAGAGAGGCAGGTAGAGGACAGATAAACATGGACACACAGATTTATAAGCAATCAATAAAAAGAGGAAACTGTTTCCACATTGTTTTTATTTCAAATCACTCACATCATTTAAACTTACAAGTCTCAAGACTTGATGCGTCGGGCTGAACCAGGAGAGAGATCACACAGTGAGATGTCACAGAGTCATATGAGTAAGGTTACATGAACATAACTGCTATAGCATGCACCATTGCACTATATATACTGTACATAATCATCATGGAGGGCTATGATTGCATCTGGAGGAGGATGACAGTTCTACTGGAGGTTAAAATCCCACCTGCACACCAGCGTCGAACTGACCATGGACTCTCTGAAGAAGACAGCTGCTGGTGTGTGTTCAGGGGGGGTTTCTTGTTGAGTGTTGTGTGGTGGGCCAGAGGTCAGACGTGCGAGGTCTTCACTCCACATTAGTATTCTCACACTCTTCGATCTCCGAGATGAGCCGATGAGGGAAGAGTTTAAACTGCAGCCATGTGGGCTCTGGAAAACAGAGAGAACGTGCAGGGGTGATGCAAAAGTCTCCAAATGTCAATAATGTGAATCACTGCTTCTCATGTTCCTCTGACTCACATGGTGAAACAGATACAGATCATAGGGTTTAATGTGTGTGTGTGTGTGTGTGTGTGTGTGTGTGTG